TTAATTTTCTGTATACCCATATGCAGTTTCATAATTTGAGTTTTGAAAAAAAATATCTAAAAGTACGTGAACCGTGACCCATTACCGTACATGGTGCACAGTAACAATACTGTTCACGTGAATAGTGAAAAAATAAAATAAAAAATAAAAAAGGGATGTGATAGTAAATATTAAATTTCATATCTTATGTGTTTAATCTTAACTTTACGCGATGTTTGTTAATAATTAATATTTTTTTCTTTTAGAATATATAAGTTTAAAGATATGAAGTAAAGCATTTTGTAAAGTTATTAAATATGAAAGATCATTGGCACTCAATGATCACCAATCAACCACCCTTCGACAACTCTAAGGTATGTAATTGGTAAGGAAATAAATGTTCAGTCCAATTTTTGGAATAACCTTATAGAAAATTCTAAATTATTTCCTTAATAGAGTTCACGATATGTTATCCATGAATTAGCTATTGCTCATCAATATACTTGTTTTATATTTCAAATAAAGAATGGCAGCATTATAAGCATGCGAGTATAGTATATTAAGCTTGGTGCTTGTATGTGATAGGGGCGATATTATTTTTTTTTAAGGAAATGGCACTATCTACGCACACAAATTTGATGCGCGACTTATTCGAGCGGTATAAGAATTGACACTACAGAATGCACGACACTTCAAAATGCACATCTATTTGTCCCTAAAGCAATCTCAGTGGTTGAGCAATTTCTAGGTACGAGCCTCTTACTTTTGAAGGTGATTCCGACTCATTGGCAGTTGATGAACGGATAAAGAGTCTTGAGCGCATCTTTCGACACATTAATTGTACAGATGCACAAAAGGTATTATACGTAGAATTTATGTTTGTTGGATCAGCCAGTCACTGGTGGGAGTTTACCTCACGTATTAGGATCGAAGAGCAACAACTTAACCTGACTTGGGAGTAGTTTAAGGATGAGGTGATGATAAATTACTTTCCACAAGCCTTGAGAGACTTCAAGGAATCGGATTTTTTGCAGCTCAGATAAGGAAACATGTCACTTATTGATTACGAGAGAAAGTTTGAACAACTCTCAAGATATGCCCCGTACTTGGTGGATACAGAAGTAAAGAATGTTGGAAGGTTAAAAAATATAGACTACGCCCGAAGATCAGCATGATCGTTACGTCTCATTGTTTCACATCGTACCGTGGAATGTTCGAGATGGCTCATTATATTTCATAACAGAGGAAAATATCTGAGCAATATTCCCAACAGAGCAAAGAGTCATTCGGGAAAAGAAAGTGGAACTATCAGAGCAAGGAAAGACGTAACTAGTAGAATAAGAGACCAAGCACAGGAGTTCGTTTTAGTAGGAGTATTACATCATGTCCTAAGTATAATGAACTCCACAGGGATGAATGCTTATTTTGAAAGAACACGTGTTTTCGGTATGGTAAGTCGGGACATATCTCTTTACACTGTACCGAGCCTCCACGAAAGAAAAATAATGACCAAGATAAGAACCCAAGGAGAAATGCTCGAGTTTTTGCACTGAATCAGCAAGAGGTCGAGTAGAATCCGAATGTGATAGCATGTATTTTATTATTATTTAATGTACCTGCTTATGTTCTTTTTTACTCTAGGGCTACACATTATTTTATCTCTGCATCCTTCTAACATTATATGTGTGAAAACATGTATTTTATTATTATTTGATGTACTTGCCTATGTTCTTTTTGACTCTGGGACTACACATTCTTTTATATTTGAATCCTTCGTTGCTAGCATTTTATGTGTGAAGACAAATAATGCATTAGAAGTTACATCCCTTCAAGAAGAATTCTTTGCACAAGTCAGATAACTAAGGCTATGAAGTTAGAGATTGATGAAAAGGTACTACATGCGGACTTGTACCATTTATATATGAAAGATTTTGATGTGATGTAAGGCATAGACTGGTTGAGACTCAATCACACGTGACCATACGATGTCACGAGAAGAAGTGTTATTTCATAAGCTAGGAGTGGAAGAGTTCCATTTCTTTGGGGCAAGGTTCAGATCTCCACCTCGCCGAATATGCTGAGAAAAGAGTCATATAATGGATTCTTAGTTAATATTATTGGTTCCCAACATACAGAAGCAATCGTTAATGATATTGAAATTGTGCGAGACTTTGTTGATGTATTTCTAGAAGATTTAATTGGCATTCCACCAGATAGGCAAGTGAAATTTACAATCGAATTGGTCCTTGGAGCGGCACCAGTAGCTAAGGCTCTGTACTAAATGGCATCGAAAGAACTTTAAGAATTGAAGTTGCAATTGGAGGAATTGCTAGATAATGGTTTCATTAAATAGAGTGTATCTCCATGTGGTGCTCTAGTACTCTTTGTGAAAATGAAAGATGGGACTATGAGAATGTCCATCGACTATCGAGAATTGAATCATCTAACCATCAAAAATAGATATCTACTTCCAAGAATATGAGATTTGTTCGACCAGCTAAGGGGTACAAAAGTGTTTCCTAAGATCGACTTGAGGTCAGAGTATCACCAGTTGAAGGTCAAGGCAAGTTATATACCCAAAAATTCTTTCAGGACTCGTTACGAACATTATGAGTTCACTGTCATGCATTTTGGTTTGACCAATGCCCCAA